ATGATGCAATAAAAAATATATGATTCCATTTAAAAAAACATTAATGACCTTCATATGTCCTTGACACGTCCACCTAAAAAAAAAAAAGTACAATCAGTATGAGCCCCTTTTAAAGCCATTCAACTCCATGTGAAACATTGTCTGCTACGCGTAATAATAAAAACGTAAATCAAGGTGGTAAAATGTGGTGACCAACCCTGTATAAACGGTCCATTTGACCGGTCACTGTACGTTTAGTATTAAAAATATAGAAAAAATATTACAATATTTTTTATAGGTACTATATTAAAATGATTAAAAATTATTAATAGAGAAAAAAAAACCAAAGAAAATATTTTTCTAAGAAAATAATTTCAAACATTAGCCACATAGTTTAAAGGTAATTTACTGTATCCATTTATGCAGAGTTCTCTTTCTCTTTCTTTCTCTCTCTCTCTCTCTCTCTCTCTTTATCTCTTTCTTTCTGGATGGATGGAACAAGTTATAGGAATTCGAAGTAAGGTTTTAAAAGCGATCCAGTTGGAAAGAGCGATTTGCGCTCGTAGCAGTATAGCTCGTTGCGTGCATTAAGAAGCCGTGCACGGTGTAAAGCGCCCTACTGTGCGCCTGTCTACCTTGCACCCCGCACTGCACAAGCAGGTCTGGTTGTTGTTAGGGAACGTATTTGTACACCTGTTGCATCGTTCGGCGATTACCGTAAAAGGCTCCTCTTCATTCGTTAAACAGAATTCAAATGGATAGCCTCTTTTGTATTCCTCCAACTAAATCGATCGAATTCTACACAGTACGATCGTCACATTTAATTTCTTTTATTTTTTATTCATTTATTAATTTATTCATAAAATGAACTATTTTATCAAATAAAATGAAAATGAAACCTGGCAGAGGATATTTTATGTGAAAAAAAAGTAAGAAAAACAATTATTTCATCCGAAGTTACGTTTTTCGATAGAAGATAGTTTTTTTAGTTCGAACGAATAATAATCAAATATTTGAATTTTATAAGAAAAACAAACCCTAGAGATTAGGTATCTACGAAATATTTGTAGACGTATCTTCATATACACGTGGTACAGCAAAGATTGTCCGTATTAAGGATAAGGGCAGATAGGAGAAATTTTCGAGAAAGAAAAAGGAGAATAAAAAAAAAAAGAAGAAGTAACAGAGAAGTTTTTGCCATAGGTCGAGCCGATAACGACGTTCACGATTATCAAGAGAAACCACATGCTTCCATGAGATAAGAACGCAACCGAGCAAAGGAGGTCTTAAATATCCACAAGGACTCTCATTATTTCTTTTTGTAAAAAACTCGTGAATAATTGAATAAAATTAATAGCCTAAACGAGTGTGTGTCTCTTGAATATTAATTTACAACTTGAAGACAAAAATAAAGATTGTAATAACGAAAGACAAGGAATAATATATTTTCTATATTCTGTATCTGAATATCATCAAATAAGATCAAACCAAAAGTGTAAAGCGTTATCGTTAATGGTATAACATTTAAGTGGGTATATAAATTTAAATATATAAATAAATTTAAATAAATAATACAATTTAAATATACGAAGAATAGAAATAACATTGATTAAATTAAAGAGTAAGTTTTTCCTATTGACATTTTCTCCTTTTTCTTCGAGGTAATAGATTAAAAGAGAAAGAGAGAAGAAGGAGGAGGAGGAGGAAAAGAGGGTGAAGGGTGAGGCTTTAGGCGATAGGAGGAGTCGGCCGTAGCGATAAGGTTGAGTGGCAACAAGTAGTAGCGCCATTGTTGGTCGGTGATTATCAAGAAACCGCGTGTTTCGCCGAGATACGCTTTAGAAACAGAGTGTGTTCGATGATAATGGAGTGGTGCACGGCATGCCGACTTCCTGACGGTGCTGCTGCTACCAATACGAACTATGCTACCCAACTTGCTTGTGCATTGGTTGGTTCATCTTTGTCGTCGTCGTCGTCGTCGTCGTCGTCCTAGTCGTCGTCTACTCAACGAAGTAAGCCTCTCTCTCTCTCGCCCTCTCTCTTTCTGATTTTCTTTTTCTTTCTCACTCACTCAACGATATTGCTGTTGGACCGTAGGCCAATTATCGTGCCATGGCTGATTAGCCGTTACTCTCAGCGTGCCAGATAAAGTATGCGATTACGACGAATCGCATCTCGTTTATCGTTTCGCCAGCAAGCTTTAACGCTCCTACTTTGTATGTTTCTTCTATATCGAGAATGTATAATATATATATATATACACACAATTGTTGGAATTTTATTTAATGTATACGTCTATAGATAACATATTATTTTAATTATAATTTCTATCTTATTATTTTTATTCAAAAATATATTTTATAAAATTGCATAAAAATAAAAAGGTAATATGTATATGTATATGTATATATATAAGAAAGTTAAAGTTTAGTTCGTTTCGTAAGAAACGGAATGTATTCTCGGTGCGGATCGAAGCGCCGCTCGGATTCCGTCTTCGACCGCAATATCTATGTACGAAGAAAACGGATCGAGCCATTCCCTCAAACCGGTTGGCAGGAAGCTTCACTGCTCGATCGCTCGATCGGTGCTGGGGAAGCTCAGAGAGTTCGCGGATGAGTTTAACAGAGTAGAGGTATATACTCTACTTATGGAAGAAGAAGAGTAGAATAAGAGAGAGAAAGAAAGAAAGAAAAAAAGAAAAAAAGAAAAAGACACCTAGATCTTTTGCTCTCTTTTTCTCTCTTTTTCTTTCTTTCTCTTTGCTACAGGAAATTGTTGGTAGTAGTAATAGTAATAATAGTAGTAGTAGTAATAGTAGTAATAGCGAGGCGTCATTGACATCTCTCTGCTGAGCTGTCAGCGCGCAATCACGTTTATGCGTTACACACAAACGCACACACACATATATACATATATATGTACATAGGTAGATAGATACACACATACATACATACACATAAGTATGTATATACTTACATACGTATTACCGTTCTCGTCGGTTTAATCCGCAGCAAGTAGCAACGATTGCAGCATATCCAATGTCAAAGTCAGAGTTAACTTTTAGAGGGCGAAACGTGTTACGAGATAACCAAGTTAAGTAAAAAGTCAAAGAAAAATAAAAAAAAGAAAATCTTTAATTGATATAATAATGTAATGAACAATTATATCAATCGATCATAGAAATAACTTCTTCCCCGCATTCCAGTTTGTTTCCTTTGCAAAACTTTAACTTCACTTGCGCGTATACTTACGTAAAAAAGTATAAGATTTTACAGATAGATATATATATATATATCTATAGAGAACGTATTTACCTCTCGGCCTGCCATACGACTTCATGGCCTTGATTCCCATTCCGACGTATGTATCCGTAGTAGCGTAGTCCACGTACATGTGTGCCGTAGTCCTTGTATAATCGGCGAACATGCACGAACCTCGAGATACTGTCATTAGGCAGCCGAATATTGATGATGATTATAATGATGCTGTTGGTGGTGATGATAATGATGATGACGATGGTGATGATGATGATACACGTGCTGTGCAATCGGTACTCGTTGCGAGCAGAGACCACCCCGCAAAGAGACCTTCCTTCGCGAAAACTCACCTTCGACGACAAAAACAATGACGAACAGTTTGATGACACCACGATAACGACCACGACGACAAAACTCCAGATAACGCATTCTCGACAACGAAAAGTCGGATTGAAAGAGATTAAGAAAAGGAAGAAGAAAAAAATATCATCGTTCGATGTTGTTCACCATCAAAAACTCGACAGTGTTCTGACTTTTGAATATGACGACGATGACCAATATGACGACGATGACCAATATGACGAAAAGAAGAAAAAGATAAAAGTAGTGGTGGAAAAAAGTTCACCGTCGTGTCCAGCATGTGTTTGCTATCAATTCATAACCGCGAGAAGCTACGGTGCTATTTCCGACTACCTGCTTGCGCAATAGGCCAGGGAGAAAGAGTAAGAAGGAAGAAGAGAGAGAGAAAGAGAAAATGAGAGAATGAGAGAGAGAGAGAGAGAGAGAGAAAGAGAGATGAGCTAGCGTGGACGAAAATATGAATCGCCGCCGAAAATACGGCAAGAACGTGACGATCCGCGTAGGAGAAGGAGAAGAAGAAGAAAAAGTAGGGGAAGAAGGGAAGAAGGGGAATTTAAGGGGTGGGTGGGGGTGTTCTCATGCACACTCGCGCACTCGCGCATCAAAGTATGTACGTACACAACGAGAACAAAGTATATACTACTACACAAACGATAATGACGATCACTGTGGTAAAGGGGTTGAGAAGGGGAGGGTCATCGATGAATTTAATTCTTCCTAACTAATACATCACGATACTCTTCCAGTTTATTTACTTTTTTCTAAAACAGTATCACAATATACTTATCACGATATTTAAATTTTTTGTTGTCAATGTTAATGAAAAATTGACCGTCGCGAATATCGTTTGCGTTGTTTTTATTATAAAAGAGTTAGATAAACCACGCCAACTATGACGACGACAACAACGACAACGACGACAACAACGACGACGAGGACGACGCGACGCTCGAAGTTGTTCGCGAAGCAAAAGCACCGTGGCTGCTACGAGAAGATAGAGAGAAGAGAGAGAACGCGCGCGCGTACGGCGCGCGTGCGAGCTGGCCGTCAAAGAGGGGAGAGGATTTTGAGAGGGAGAAGGAGAAAGGAGGAGAGACGTTCAAGACGTTCGGGTGGGAGTACTTACTTATATACTCCTTCCTCGACGAAGGGATAAGAGAAGAATCCTATGTGTGTGTACGTTTATGGCTTTATATGTCACAACGCGTTTATGCATACGTGTATAAGAGGAAAAAAGAGAGAAGGATGTATATGCGAGGGAGAACACGTGAAGAGCAAAGGAAGGCTTCCTTCCTTCTTTTCTTTCTTCCCTTTTTTTTTTACTCTCTATTTTTTTTCTCTGAAAAGATACGCTAAGCTTATCGATTATTTTAACTGCAATATGCTTAAATTTTCTTAGATAATTGAATATTCTATTAATTATTAAATCGTTTATTCGTATAATTTGTTAAGTTAATTCCAATGAGAATTATTTATTTGAATTATAGTGAATAATAAATCAAAGAAGTCTAGGAAATACGAACGAAAGAGGATATATAGTAATAAGACGAAGAGCATCATTGAGTAGAAGAAGAAGAGAGAGAGAAGTAGTGGGAGAAGCACACTTGACTCGCGCAATCCCCCACCATCATTCAGTTACTCAGTGTTCGTCAGTTTATGAATGAATTCTCCCGTGGAGAAGCCTTAGGCGCGCGACGTATTGCGGCGACTCGAAACGAACGTAGCCGAGCGTTACCGACGTTAACCGAATGAACCAGGGCCGTCCTTTTCTTCAATCGCGGCGGCTCGTTTACTTGGATTCATTCATGCTCGCGTTTAGTCAGCGGTCGGTAGTAGAGTACTTATATTTCTTTCACACACGAGAGAGAAACACATTGATGGCTTTCTTTTTTAACTGTCCTTCATTCTTTTTATCTATAGAATTTACTACACACTTATAAACTCATACACACACACACACACATTTATATATATATATATATATATATATATATATATATATATTTATTTATTTATTATATATTACGTATTATATCGTTTCATTTATTTCATTAGAAATATTATTATAGGTATAGATTTAAACAATTATATATAAATGTAGAATAAAAAACGTTTCTCTTCGAGGAAGATATTAAAACGTATTATTCCGTATACGCCCGTTTGAAATTTAATGCGTTACTTATTAAGACGTCCTTGTAAGCCCGTGTGCAAACCGTACTAGAGAAACTTCGTAAATAATTTAACCTTGCTTCTTCAAAGAGAGAGAGAAAGAGAGAAAGAGAGAGACAGAGAGAGAGACAGAGAGAGAGACAGAGAGAGAGAAGAAACTTTTTGCATGATTCGTTACCGAACACGAGAACGTTATCGTTTTGCGAGAGCAGAAATAAGGATAAATAAAAATGAAAATAAATCTGCGCCTCGTCTCGTGTTAACGTGTAATTATCCTTGAGATTCCGTCGGTTGTCTTTTAATATTTTTCTTCGATTTCTTTTCTCTTTCTCTTTCTCTTTTTACTTATTATATCCGGAGAGAAAGAGAGAGAGAAAAAGATAGTACCGGTTGCGAACGGACGCAGGTTATTAAATCGTACGCGCGATAAAGGAAAGAGACCTGACGCGGAAGCGAATGGTTACGACTTAAGATAGATTTAACGATGAATAAGAAAGATAGTGGAGATAGAAAGATCGATAGAGAATATTATGAACGGACGATATAATACCAACTGTCGTTGAGAAAAGCGGACGACGAGGATGATGCGTATGATTACAATCCATAAGTACCATCATCTCTGGTTTTCTTCTATGTGTCGGTAATTATGGAAATGGTATAAGTGAAAAATATCTAACCCATTAAAAAGAATGTATGACTCAGGTCACTTTCATAATAACCAGTTCATACAAATCTGGTTCACCTGGAACTCGGACCGTGAGAAATTATCATTCGCGTTTATTTTGATATTTGTCTCGTTAGAAGAATCCCCTCCAACTTTTCATACACATATACACACATATAACCGCGCGTACATTTATATTCATAAATAAAATATAGATAAATTTTTATTTTTTCGACTAATCGTGCGAAAATGACCGAGTTTATTATCCGAATACTTCCACACTACGAAGTTGATTAACGAGAGACGCGTGGAGAGGTGAAAATTCTTGCGGCACGCGTTTCCGGTAGCGAAGGCTCATTCATAAATCCGCCGTCTCCGCTAACCCAACATCAAAAGAGACCACTACACCACTACTACTACTATCACCACCTTCACCGCTGTCGCCGTCTCCGTTGCCGCAGCTACGATATTGCCAAACGTGAGCTAACTTTTACCGCTGCGTAAGACAAGACCAAAAAAAAAAGAAAAAAAAAGAGAAAAAGAAAGAGAGTTCTGATCTACTCCAGTAACCGGTTACACCATGAGTATTTGTATCAATGATCGAGAATGCTCTTTTCAGTCAATTCCCAGATCCGTTTATTTTCTTATTCGATGAAAACAAAAAAGAAATAAATTAAAAATAGAGAAACAACAGATACACAGGAAGGATGTTAAAAAAGATAATCAAAAGAACAAAATAATAATAATAATAATAATAATAAGTAAACTGTAACTCAGGAAGGAAGAATAAGTAAGAGTACCTCCCCTACCTATAGAAACAAGATCGATGAAAGAGATTTCCATGGTGTTAGTGCATTTATAATATAACCGTGCGTTAATCTACGAACATGAGAAATCATGAGAGGAAAAAGAAGAATATAGAAAAATATAATTCTTCTACTAGTATAAGTAATATAAGGTACTTTCAAGATCATAGGATGGATGTGCCGGAGGCTAGACTACTTTTTAGGCACAATTTTTAGGCTAGATTCACCGTAAGCAGGAAAACGAATTATGGGGGATGCGTAAGTTTATATTAAAAAGAGAAAGAAAGAAAGAGGAAGAGAGAAAGAGAAGGAGGGACGACAGAGGGAAGGAGATGGAGAGCGTGAGAAGAACGTAGTCCTCGCGTTTGCTCTCGATGCCAGAAGGCGAAGCAACCTCCCCTTTCCCTCTCACACTCTTCTTCCTCCTCCTCCTCTTTCTCTTTCTCCTTCTTCTTCTCCTTCTTCTGTTCCTCTTCTTTCTCGGCACTCCTCGTGCGTAAAAGAGACGGCCGCTCGCGGAACACGTCATTTCCTTTAAAGGAGGTTGAGGAGGGAAAGGAGAAGGAGGGGGTGGGGAATGGGGAGAAGGAGGGGGAGAAGAAGGGATCGAGCTCACCTGCCCCGCTACGGTCACTCGACTTCCGGCAACCCTGCTTGTTCGTTCTCTCACTCGGTTTGCCTATGGCCCACGGCCATGTAACCGTGACTTCTCTCTCGCTAATGCTTCCGCTCCCCTTTCCGTCACACTATACACATTTTTTTGGTCTCTATTTCTCTCTATCTTTCTATCTATCTATACCTATTTTATAGATACTCTAGAATAATAATAATAATGGATAACACAGACACCTATAGATTAATCTTTTAATTTTGGAAAATATTTCTATATTTATATAATACAAAGAAACATATTATAGATTCATCATTTGTTGATTTTTTTTTTTTTTAATAAAATCGTTGAATAAATGATATTTTTTAACACAGTTAATAATGATTTTTCGATTAAGTTTCAGGATAAAATATGTATAATAAAAAGAACTTTATCTTATGGAAGGGAGGGGGAATAAATCAGTTCGAGAAATGTTTTCATAATTCAACTCGTGTCAAGGATAGAGAATTAAATAGGAAATTTCCTAAATAATCATTGGTCTCTTCACCGTTTCGTTTTAGCAGGTCCGTGCAGATTTTGGTAATCGCTTATCCGCTTGGTAGCGTTTACTTTGGAAAACATTTATGACCTTACAAACGTAACGTACTTATGAATTAATAAATATAGAAAATAAAATAAAATAAAATTGTAAAATTTTTTAAACATTATTTTTTATTGTTTATAGCTTATAATTAACCATTGTATAATACCGTTTAATTTTTTGAAATTGTTCTTTTATGTCGCACAAAGAATAACTATCATCACCTTAAAATTCATTATCATTCACGTACGTTCGTCGATTCTGTCGTTTAGTCATATTCTGCAAAAAAAAAAAATTATTTAAAATAAATGTAGGATTTGAAAACGCTTTCTAGTTGTGTTAGGACTTTAAACTGTACGTCACGGTGGATTTGAAAAAACCAAAATAAGCCCTTAAATTTAAGATTCATGGAAAATTTCAGACTTGCAACAATGTAGCTCTTATCTTATCTTATTTAGACTAAGGATTAAGATAATCGGTTGAAACTTGATACACTACGCACCAGAAAACAAAGCGATGTCGAGCCACACTCGACATAGGACCACAAAGGGTTAAAGTATAAAAATAAAATAAGTTTTTCTTATAAAGAAATATATAGACTCGTTTGAAAGATCGATCATTTGTTGATTTTCTGAGAAGACATTAGGGAAAAGATAATCTTTAACATGGAGTATGATTTTTCGATTAACATAAGTTTTAAGACGAAAATATTAAAAAACTATAATTTGATCTTACAGAGGAAAAAATTCGTTCGAAAAATTGACGATAATTCGAATTCACTTCGAAGATAAAAAATTAAACAGAAATTTTTGGTAAACATTCGTTGATTTGTCGATTGTATATTAATCACGTTTTATAATTACAATGTTAAAAAGCACAAATTCATTTAATAAAAAGGAATAGATTCGTTTGAAAAATTTATGATTGACCAATCGAAAAAAGAGAACGTACTTTGGAAACAGTTATCAACCTTTTCAAAACGATTGAAATGTCCAAAGTATGCTTTTATCATATCTCTATACGTATGTTTACTTTTTTCTTCGAGACACGTGTCGACACGTTTCCAGGCAGTTATAGTTTAGTCGTCCTATAGTTTAGAAGTAAAATTCGAGATATGCTTCGTAAAAACGAAATATTTGTAATATTTCAACAATTTTTTATTAATTATTATCTTGCGTTTACAGAATAGAAATCTTTTTCTCTCATCGTTTTATATTAGCTTGCTATCAAAATTT